ATTTTGCTTTTCAACATATTTGCAAGGTGGACTCGTAGTCATATTTCCTGCTGGAGTTATTCGTGTAGTTGGTTGGATTTGGAGATTTGCAAGTCAAAATCAGGCCAGCAGAGTTGAATATACTCGCACAATCACAGCTGTATAAAGTGCGTGGCCAAATGAATACGGCTATTAATTTCATCATAAAGCGAGGATAGCTTACCATCGTAAAGTGATTGGGAAGTGTGTCAATACATGAATCGACTTACTCATCCCATTGTGGAATGTTTAATTTTCCTACCAACAGGCAAGGTGTGCATCAGTGCTCAAGAGTGTTTTGATCAGATTACTTTTGTGTTTGATTGAACTGAGTCAGGGCCAATGACGAGGGATGTGTGGCACAGGTGATTTGACATTTGCGCCCACGCTTTCTAAATATCCTTCCTTTCTGAACCACTACACTCCCGGCAGTCTCATTGAATGTATTCTTCGTGGAATCAGCCTTTAATTCAGAACTCGGGTTCGAAATATCTGTTGTACCACGTGTATCGATGAATTGCTGCAAGAATGTGGAGTGTGCATTATGTTATGGCAATGGGTGAAGAATGGGCTATTTGCGTTTGCTTTCTGGCCATTAAAGAGACGGATAAGGTGCCGCCAGTTCAGTGTCAATACCCTCGCAGAGATTTGATGCAGCAGAGAGGAATTTCGCAGAAGTGTTCGAGCGTGCCAACTCCCACGGGAGGTGAAGATCTACGAAATCGAGGTTTTGGACCCTGACATCGCCGCTTCTGAAGATACGCCACTTAATCAGCCCTCGCAAACTTCAACTGGAAGTTCGGCTAACGAAGTGGTTGATGAGGCTGTCAGTTGGAGGGCTGTGGGATTGCGCTTCGGTCAGATCTCCTCTAATGATACCACCGATGAGGGGCTGTATATAGCCAACGTTAAATGATCAAATCCGGCAACAGCGTAGGTCTCTTCATTGACACTTTAATTGTCTCATAAGTGCGTGGATACGCCTGAAGTGATCCAAGGCATGCGTCACACAACGTTGTAGAGGCCTTATACGAGGTGATCGAATTTTGGCAGTCGAGGGAATTGTCTTTGACAAGCAGACGTTGGACCCGTTGAACAGGAATGAGCGGGTGGTTGAATATGCATACAGACCGGTATCTGTGGCCATCACAACCCTGTACGAGATCATGACCAGCATTCTCGATGCCTGGTTAAAGAACAATTGGTCAAATCAGCTCAATGGTCGACGAGGACCACTCCACCTCACCATTTCTTGATGTCTCCTGGAAACGGAGCCAGTTACCTCTGTGTCCGAATCCGATTACATGCCAGTGCCGGCTGCATTGCATTGTGAACCACGAGTAGAGCCTACTCAACCCGTGAACTGCGAGGTGAGACAATCGCTCATAAACCACTTTTGATGGGCTTAGTCTGTGTCATTAGCCTATGATGACTACTTGGTTTCGGACTGCCTCTGCGTGCTTCCATGTGTCCAGGCACTTTGTAACAACCTTGCAGTTGGTTTGGAAAGAGAAATCCTGCAGCCCA